GCGGGTCCTGTTGAGTGTTATCCAATACATGTCAAATATGCCATCAAATTGTGCTTCTATGTAGAGAAACCACTGTATTCCAGGTGTTATTCCTCAGTTCATTTGACGTCTCGTGATTAAGGATGACTGCATGATCACGCTGCCGGTCATGTGACACCCCTTCTCAAAAACGTAGAAACTTCAGAAAAAAATCATCCAAAGGTTTTCGTAAATCGCTTGCAGAGCATAAGATGAATTGTTTGAAACTAAAAACAGTTTTAATTTGCAAAAAAACTGCAAAATCTAGTATAAAATTTTGAACATTTTTTGTACCTAATGATTTTGATACCGAATAATTAGGAATCTTGCCGAGTGCTGATCATTTTTCAGGCTGAAATTTGGAAGCACAGTAAGAACGGAAAGCAAGAAATTCGTGAATCGCTTTGAACAGTTCTTTTTATAAGGAAAAGGCCTCAGTGACTTTCACAATTTTAAGATTTGGAAGAAATTTTTCAATTCGACTCACCAAATAGATCCAACTCAAAACATTCTGAGTTGGAGTTTAGCGTCGGTTTTCTTGGCCTTTATTGGACAAATGAGAAAACTAAATCATTCTAGAACGAGAGTATAAAAGGCTTTACTTCTTTGTCCGAAAAAGTTGGAAATCATGTAAAGAAAGCAAACAAAGTTGGATGGTTTTCTATTTAAATTTCGGCAAAATTAAATTTTTAATTTTTGCTTTTTCCACAACAAATCAAGCGTCAGGTTTATGACCAAAAATTGTCATAGTGCCTGGTATAAGTCGTTTAACTGGGAAGAAAGTGAAATACAAAGTAGAAATTCCTTGTTAGTTCTCATACGACTTTTAAAGCTCTCTTATGGAATCTGTAGCATAAAAGTTTTGCAACGAAACTTTAAAACCGTTCGGACAGTGGAGCTTATATTCAAAAATGCTCTTGTTCAAATTCTTTAAATCCAGCAGCAAAGTACAGTGTTTTGGTGTGATCAAAGAAAAGTTGAAGCTGAAGAAAAGTCTATTTCTGCTTTTCCATCTTGAAAATCCAAAATCTCCGTCTACGCTTTTGCTTGAAACGAAATGGCGTCACAAGGACCTTATAGGAAAGATATAAAATAGATTAACTTATATATGTTTTTAGGTCAAATGTTGTAGCAAAAGGTTTAAAGAAACAAAGACATTAAGAGTTAATTTTTCAGCCAATTTTAGTTAACACGACAGTATCTCAATAAAGAATTTAAGGATTTCAACTATAATTATTATCTTTCGCACTGTGTTATCACACACTTTGCATAACAAAGGATTTTGCCGTCTTTAGGAAAGCAAAGGGAAAAAAACCACTCAAAAATGAAATTTCTCTTATCATTGTTGTTGTTGAACTGATTCATGCTAAACAGTGAAATATTTCTTCTATTTGATTCTCCATGGAGTATTTGGGGCTTGTTACACTAGTCTCTTTGAAGCTTCAATTCTGAACAAAAGTCACTATTTACTTGAATTTTAATTTGAAAATAAGTTTAATTTGTTGATATCCTACTTTCCGGTCATGCCATATCCTGTTTGCGCCTGTAGATAATCCTTATAGAACAAATTGTCTACGAGTACCATCAATTAAATTTGTTTTCAATTCATCCATTCTGATTTGTTTATTTCTCTCTATTTTAGTAAATAAAGTTACACCTGTCTATCTACCTGTTGTTTTAGCATACAGTTAATAAGACTAAAAGAAGTGTGGACTCTCTAGGCCCAGTAAAATTGAGTTCGATAAAAATGAACTCTACAAGTCAATCTTGAATAAACTGCAGTAGTTTGATACAAAAGAATCTAACAGTAATTCTGTAGGTTTAGTTGATATCGGAGAAAAATCAGCTCAAATTGAGTTACTGTACCGTAAAAAAGTCCCACTATAATCTTGGTTTTTGAAGTCTCTTGCTTAACTAGCGTTTTGATTGCGAAAATATAGCTGCCACCTACATGCTGTAAATACGGGATACCACCGTAGCATTTCGGGTTGGCCACCACCCGGGATTGTAACAGAAAAAAAAAATATTAAACGAAAGGTTGGTGGCCACTCTATTTTCTGTGTACTCTCAAGCGGTTTTTCGGTTACAACATTCGCGTAGAAACACTGTAGTCGAAAAATTCTTTGTTGCACTCATTTTGTCAGGTCGTTGAAATTTTATAAAGCACTGCTATAAAGTGAATGAAGCCCGAAGACAAGAAGTTAAACCAGGTATTGTTGAGAGGTCTTGCTTTGAAGTAAATCTCACCAGAAATCTTCAATATGGATTTCTCAGCTTCTTTTAAAGAAATTCAAAGGATTGAAAGCAGCGTTTACAATTTTAATGTTGACATACATTACTGTTGTCCAAGTTCCTTATGTTTTATCGAATTGCTCACATTTTATAGCTTACAAACTGCTGAAGCAGTCGACACTTTCCATATTGCAGTCTCTTCTGAAACACTGTGGATTCTTTCATAGCGATAAGCTGGCGTCTAAAACATTAGATCTTGAAACTCCTTACTGAGTTCCTAAAAAGAAAACATCGTTGTCCTTCAGCATAACACGTCTGTTCCTTGTACTTAAACCGGCGTTATAAAACAGCTAATATTGGACTTATAGTCACATCCTGACCATGCATCACTGTCAATCAAAAAAACATGTTCTCAGAATTAATATGTTAGGTTTGTCAAATTTTTTATTGTAAGTCCTTGTAATGTCGTTCATAAAATGCACGCGCTCTAAGTGTCCATTTATTAC